AGATAGTTTGGAACATAATTTCTCTGAGTTTCCTAGTTATCTGCTTTAGAAATTAATATCTGACTTGGACTTGGATTTAAAATTTAGAGTAAGATGAGACTAAAGAACTTTTATCAGATTTTCAGAAGACTCTCCAAATACCCATAGACTATGACAAAGATCCTGAAATAAAAATTATTTGTCTCTCACATTAGAAAATGAAAGCGGAAGAATAAATTGTAAAAAATGTGCAGAAGGTGACATAAAAGTTACAATACAGAAACCCCCAGAGTTTTAAAACAGGATTAAAACAAAAACAAAACAAAACAAAAAAAAAACCCACAATAACAAAAGCCCGGAATGGAGAGATTAGTGAGATATAGCCATTCCATCTGACAACTGTTACTTGAAATTTAAAACCATTAGAACCACAGCCACTAGGACAAACAGCAATTACCACTTGGGCCAGGTCTAAAAATGGAATAGAATCACATCTAACAAAACAAGTGAATGATAGACATGCACCTGTAATCCAGCATTGGGGGCTAAGGTGCCATGACTGTGAGTTCTCTAAAGGCTTGGGCTACACTGCCAGAACCTGGCTAAAAAAGTAGCAAACAAAACACTGGATTAGTAGTAAAGAGAAAAGAAGAAATATTTTCTCATTTTGTAGGCATTACTTTGAAATCAATAAAAGCTAAAAAAAAGTTCTCCTAAAAAACTAACATAATTCAGGAGCCTAGGTGGCACATGCCTTTAATCCTAGGATTGGGGAGGCAGAGCAGGCGGATCTCTTAGAGTCCAAGGCCAGTCTAGTATACAAAGTGAACTCCAGAACAGCCAGGGTTACACGTGAGACCCTGTCTCAAAAAACAAAAACAAGAGTATCAATAGGCATAAACCTTGGGAAAGACTACATGTTAAGGTTGGGGCAGCTACCCAGCATGGGGTGAACACACAACACAGGCTGGTTAGATTTTTCCAACATTACACTTATAACTCTTGCCCAGCTGACCCAGAAACTTTGCTGCCTTCTCAAAAATTGGCTCCTAAGAGGCTAGGGAGATGGCTCAGCAGGTAAAGTACTTGCCAGGCAAGTGTGAGGACCAAAATTCAAATCCTCAGAAACCACTTGAACCCTCAGAGCAGGCTGGTGGACCAGATGCTCTAACAACAAGCTCTGGGTTCAACGAGAGACTGTCTCAATTCGGAAGATTGAGAGATCTACGGCACACATGCACTCTCGAGACCCCACACAGATGAGAATAAACATATGTACACACATGTACATCACACACACACAACCAACAAAATTGGCTCAAAAAATAAATCTTACAAATTTAAAAAAACACTGGTTTAGTTTCAAATCAGGCAATACACTAGAAAGAATGGAAACTCAAATACTAATGCCCTTTCCAAATGCTTCAAAATCTCTACAAAAACAGTTTGCTCTGACTCCAAATGCTTCTAAGTAGATTTTCTACAACTATTGGTTTTGCCTTTAAAAAAAAAAAATTAAAGGTAGTCCACAGTAAGACCCCAAAGAGACATTTGCTCCCATGTGTCTAGCCACACTATTGGGACAGCTAAGGGGTGGGCGCCCTGATGCCCGCTATGGATTGTGTTACTTAGCCTGACAAAAAATGAAAGTCATCACATTAACCCAAACAAGCTATCACAAAGCTACTCGCTATGTGATTCTCCTTACAGAGTGTTGAACGTAGTCAAATTTATAAACCTTTGGAATAACACTCCATTAAGCATAACCAGAAACAGTCTCAAACAAGGATCAGTTCCAGTTTCCCAATAGTTCACCCTAATGCCTCCGGGCCACTTCACCCGTGTAGTTGCGCTCTAACTATCCCTGGCCTTCGAGCAACCATTCCATGCTTTACTCGCAGCTCCCCGAAGCTTCTCCACATCCTCAATTCTGTGGTGTCTCGCTGTTTTTCTGAGAAACCTGAAACCATGACTTCCCCCTTCACCACTTCATTCTGCTTTTCCTCTGGACTCAACAGACACAGTTTTCTCCTTGTGTCTGTTGCCACCTCCATGAACACCTCAAGTTACATACATGTTACAGTGAGAACAAAGGTTTGGGTTAAGTGGAACCTTAAGTGTTAACATGGCAAGGTCTGAAGGACTGAGGAAGGCAATTAAGAGGGCCTAGAGCTGGCTATGAGATAGCCAAGCAGGGTAACACCAGCCCTTCCTTCCCAAGCCCTTGAGGAACACTCATGTGACACTATTGTCCTTTCTTATATTCTCGCTTCTAATGCACCTAATTGTAACAGGCTAAACAGTAAGTGAGGGTATCTTCTAACAAGGAGCCCCCATTTATTTTAACAAAGAGACCCCAGACCATCCCATAAACGAGTTGACTTAGAACAAATGCAGCTACTTCTTGGTATCCATGAAGAGTTTAGAGTACGTAATAACCAGCACTTGCATATCTGAAGGTAGCAATCAAGGCCAACCACTAGCAATGTCAGAATCAAAGATAAGAGGATTATGCTTGGAGTGTGTAGGCTCTCCACTGGTTCAGCCCATGATAGGCTGAGAACTAGCCAATCTTAATAGAGACTATCTCAGCCTCCGTCTAGTTATAGCCACGGCCTTATAAAAACCCTAAACAAAGAGGTTCAACAGCTTTCTCTTTCTTGGAAACCCATACCACTCTCCCGAGTTTCTCATTTTTCTGTAATTTCTCCTAATTAAGCTTGCTTCCACTTTGCACACTCCAAGAAGAGTTTGTGTCTTTAGTCTTCATTGGCATGAAGGTTATGCCTAATAACTCTGTTTTTGTTTTTCTGAGACAAGGTCTCACTATGTAGCTCTGGCTGTCCTGGAACTCACTTTGTATACTAGACTGGCCTTGAACTCTTAAGAAATCCACTGCTTTGCCTCCTGAGTCCTGGGATTAAAGGCTTGTGCCACCTGGGCTCCTGGTTTATGTTAGCTTTTTAGGAGAACTTTTTTAGTTTTTATGACATTTCAAAGTAATGCCTACAAAATGAGAAAATATTTTGAATAAATTTCCTCTTCTCTCTTTACTACTAATCCAATGTTTTGTTTGCTTCGTTTTTAGCAGAGGCTGGCAGTGTAGCCCAAGCCTTTAGAGAACTCACAGTCATGGCACCTTAGCCCCCAATGCTGGATTACAGGTGCATATCTATCATTCAGTCATGGGGGGGGGAATTTTAGAGACAGTGTTTCTCTGTGGCTTTGGAGGCTGTCCTGGAACCAGCTCTTGTAGACTGGGCTGGTCTCAAACTCACAGACATCCACCTGCCTCTGCCTCTCAAGTGCTGGGATTAAAGTCGTGTGCCACCACTGCCCGCCATTCATTCATTCATTAGATGTGATTCTACTGGGTTTTTAGACCTAGCCCATTAATATTGTATAAAGTATTCAATAACTTTAGCCACTAGAGAAACAAAAATTATAACCACTTTGAGATTCCATTTCATCCCAGTCAGAATGGCTATTTTCAAGACAAGGACAACAGACATTGCTTCGACTGTGGGGGGAAGAGTGACCCTTACTCACTGTTGGTAAGGGTATACACTGAGGTCTCTCAAAATACCAGAACAGAATTTCCAGATGATTCTTCTGTACCATTCCTGGACACAAAGGACTGGATCTTATTACTACAGGGTTGGTTGTACATCCATGTTCAATGCTGCTCTATTTACAACAGGCAGGAAACGGAATCAGTCTAGATGTCCATAAATTGATGGCACAAGCCTGAGTGCACCAGCGCGTGTGCACACACGTGTGCACACACACACACGTGCACACATACGTATATGTGATTTTTATTCAGTCATAAAGAAAAAATTAAGAAAATGGTTGGGACTTGGAATTATATTAAAAGCAGCTCTTAACTTCTAATATATATGAGAAGTGTGGTTAGAAGCCTGAGAACTAGAAGGGATCGATAAAAGGGGAGCATTAGGGGTGGAAAGTGGAGGAATAGTAGAAAGGGGAACACATGGGATGCAAAGGTACAAACTACAATGGAGCAAAGGTTAGGTGATGGGTGAAACAAGTGTGATGGGAAGGGGAATTAACAAAGTCAAGTAGGTATGAAAATGCCCTAAGAAATCCTGTTATGCAGGCCATTGGTGGCACAGGCCTTTGATCCCAGCACTTGGGAGGCAGAGGCAGGTGGATCTCTGTGAGTTCGAGGCCAGCATGGTCTACAGAGCTAGTTCCAGGACAGGATCCAAAGCAATACAGAGAAACCCTGTCTTGAAAAACTGGGGGGGGGGGGGAGGGTAGAGGGGGGCGGAGCGGGGAAGAAATCCTGTTACACTTTATGGTTAAGTGGAAATTTTAATTTACTCAAAGAACCAACAAACAGTAGAGACATCAACAGACCTCAAATCAATTTTTTTGGGGGGGGCATGGTTTTGAGCTTGGATTTTATTCTAGGTTCCAAGTGCAATACACATAATTAAAGAATTTTCAGTCAGGAAGTGTTACTTTTGCTGATGGTGTCAAGAAAGAAGAGGCAGAGATAGGATACAGGACACATATCAGGAAGATAAACTAGTGGTTTACGTAAACAAACAAAAGACTGATTTGGGGTTAGGAGAGATGGGTTGGCAAGTAAAAACATCAGGTGCATAAGTTCGGCTAACTCCCCAGACACCTACATAAAAAATTGTGGTTGCACACATCTGTAATCCCAACACTTTATCCTGGAGACGAGGAGGCAAAGACAGGAGAATCACACAAAGCGCCCTCAAAGGCCAGCTAGGCTGTAGTACTCAGATCTACGTCTTACTCGCACAAGCGGTCCTCTGACCTCCACAGAGGTCCTTGTCGTACCCCCACCCCACCCCCAAAGGAACATGAGCCTACATACAATCAGACAACGCAACGGCACGATGTAAGAAGTCACAATCCCTAAAACAAGTCACTTTCTACGCGGCTTAACGCACAGCGGGAGACGGGATGGAACTGATGCGGGTTGGGACCATCAAGGCACCCCGGAGTCCCTGACCCGCACCTACCTTCCTCCCCGACAGCTGTCTGGGTCCGGGAGCCGGGCGCGCTCCCCTCGCAGTCTGTTGCCATGGTTACTACGCCAAGGTTGTAGCTAGCACCGGGTCAGAGGTACCGCCGGGATCTGCTGCCTGCACACAGGAAGGATTCTCCGCCTCCACCGGAACCGGCGCTCCCGGGGTCACGTGACAGCGAGGGGCGTGACCACGTCAGTTTGTTTTGCTCTTAGGATACAGAAAGGCGCTGAGCACGTGTCCTGGCCCCGGGTGCCTCTTTCTCCAACCCTTAGCTTTATTTCTGCTCGGATCGTCCTTCTCTGGGCGGATCCTCCGTTTCCTCACTGGCTTTCCCTCACTCAGTGGGACCCGCGACGGGCAGGTTTGCCCGCTCCTCCACCTCGCTGGTCACCCCAGCTGGTTTTCCTGGCTGCCTGGAAATATGAACCTCAGGCAGTGTCCCTTGAAGGCGTTCCCGGTGACTCATTTCCCGAGCCAGATATGCCAAATTGCTTGACTATAGTTTTCAAGGACACAGACAGCTGTCAGGGTAATGGACTTATACGTCAGAACAAATGTATGTCTCGTTAAGGGATGCACATATACCCCTTCTCCCCGCTTCTGCCGTTTATTTTGTGTGGTTAACATCATAACGAGAAGTAGATCTAGGTCTCTGTGTTCCAACCTTAACATAATCCGTATTGTTTACCCTTTTGCGTGACGGACAAAATGGGAAGACTCCTAGGTATGAATGGAAATTGGCTGGTTTATAATCTCACGGGACACTTAGACACTCAAGACAAAACCAAATGGTTTTCAAGACACTACCCTGTGGCCTTCCTGTACCTCAGAACCCTGCCCTCTATAATTTCTGCTGTTAGAACCCCAATAGGAACAAAAGTAAGCCTAATACAGACGCAGACATTGGGATAAGTGCCCTGAGGTCAGCGAGTTGTTTATTAGGCACGTGATGTAAACTTGGGCACTTCCTCCAGCAACCCGCCAGTGACTGGCTCAGCCTCCAGCCTCCCGGCCAGCTGCTCCCCTCTACTCTTTCCTTTCTTAGCGTAGCACCTGGCGACCCCCAGCTTCTCGCTGCTCTCCCTGGGCGTTCCTGCGCTCCCAGCGAGCAGGGTGGACCCTGCCTCGCCTCCTCCCCTCGGGCTCGGGCGGCGCAGGCGCAGCAGACGCGGCCGGGAGGCCGAGAACCAGAGCGGCTCCACCCGCCCAGTCAGCGCCCGGCTGGCTGGTCTGCGGCCACCGGGACGCGTCGGGCAGGGTCGGCGGGCGTCGTCATCATGGGCTCGGGCTGGAGCAGCGAGGAGGAGGAGCGGCAGCCGCTGCTGGGGCCGGGGCTCGGGCCTGCGCCGGGGACTGCGCGCAGGGGCCGGGAGGCAGCGGCCGTGCTGCCAGCGGCTGGCCCGGGCCCCGGGCGGGTGTACGGGCGCCGCTGGCTGGTGCTGCTGCTCTTCTCGCTGCTGGCGTTCGCACAGGGCCTGGTCTGGAACACCTGGGGCCCCATCCAGAACTCGGCGCGTCAGGCCTATGGCTTCTCCGGCTGGGACATCGCGCTCCTGGTATTGTGGGGCCCCATCGGCTTCCTGCCCTGCTTCGCTTTCATGTGGCTGCTGGACAAGAGAGGTAAGGGGTGCCTCCCGGACGCCTGCGGGCGTGTCCCTTCTCTGGGAGCCAGCGCCTGCCAGCATCCCGGCCTGCCTGTGCCTCCCGGCTTGGTCTAGGGGTTGTGTGAGGTGACCCAGTGTCGCTGGCATCCCATTCCTAACTCAGGAACCCTCTGTCCCCAAAGCGACAAATAAGGAGAATGATTTCCAAGCATGTGTGTGTGTGTGTGTGTGTGTGTGTGTGTGTGTGTACATACATACATATATATTTACGCCATTTATTGCAACTGTAGAGATTTAAGCAATCATCAGATGTTGAAGTTTTTTGCATAGTGTGGATGTCAGAATGACCCAGTGCACTTGCTGTGAATGTTTTTGACACCTGACAGAAGTGACTCATGCTTTGGTTTCAAAGTGATTCGGGGTGCTGAAGGTGAAAGGTCAGAAAAGAGACTGGCGATGCCCAGATGTAAGGAAGCAATGAGCTGGCGTGGTGACTCCAGCCCTGGAAGCGTTGTTGGGAAACTCAGGTCTGACGCATGAATTTCTGGAAGGTAGCTCCCCAGGTTAAAATGAGCGCGTTCGCCCAGGTGACTGTTCAGTTGCGATTTATTACTCACAGATAAAGATTGCAGATGCAAGAAGGGGGACTCTACGCATCTCACTTTTCCAATTACCAGTGTGATTGTGTGAGGTGGAGAGAAGGCCAGTGCGGGAAGAGTCCAGATGTTGAATTATCCCTCCGGAATATAAGTGAGCCCCAGGAGGCTGCTATGCAAGATTTAGACTTCTTAGGTATGTAGTTGGGTAATGGTTGGAAACTACTTTGTGTAGATTTCTGTTCAACCTTACGAGTTTTGATGCAATAAATTCTTCGTTAGTTTTCAAATATCATTGTCTTAGTCTACAGGTCTGTTAACAAATGGCCATAAACTTATAAAACAAAAAGAAACTTATTTATAACCTTTCTGGAAACTGGGAAGTCCAAGATAAAGGTCTAAGCAGATTGCTTGTCTGGTGAGAAGAGTCCATGCAGTGCTGTTTGTAATTTCTCAAGGGAAATGGCCAAGGATCTCTCTGGGGTCTCTTTGATAAGGAGTTAACCCTATTTGTACAGACCCTGCCCTCCCAACCTGTTAGGTCCCCAAAGCTCCACCTCTTAGTACAAATCACTTTTCTGGGAGTAGGATTTCAACCGAGGAAATCTGAGTGGAAGCAAATGTTCTGGGCAAAGTAAAAGTGGCACATAGGTTGGCGTGGAGCTGTGATTGTCTGGTGTGACATAGCTCTCAGACTACTTGTTACTGTGATGATTCCCTCACAGGAGCCCACATGAAAGAGACAACAAAATTGATGACTGAATGAATACAGTCATGATCAATATGTGTTACAGATGCTCAAAAGGAAGGGCAGGGCTAAGCACAGGAGGGCAGTGTCCAAAAGAAAAGTATTTGGCTATGTTCTGCACTAGTATTTAGTCCTGTGCATTGATTTTTTTTTTCTTTTTAAGAAGGTCATTTAGCAAACTGGAATGAATGACTGTAAGGGTTGTGTGACTAGAATGATAGTGGGTGTAAAAAAAAAAATCTAGAAATTTAAGATGAAGCTCCAGAACAATTGAGACAGAACATGAAATATGCGGAGATCAGTCAAAGAGTGATAGACTCGTGTGTGGTTCTAAAGGGAAGAGCTGTGACGTAACTGTGGCATGAATAAGCTGTTAGCAATAAGAGGTGTGCAGTAGTGGAAGCCGCTCACTGGCTAATAGGAAGAGCAGGCACATGGCAGAGAATTTCAAACAGCACTTGAAATAGAATAAGGTAGAAAAGACCAATTAGTAGCTGCTGATCTATTGAATGATTTACTTAAAGTACTGCTTTACTGTCTGTTTGCCAAGCACGACTTCACGTGCTACCTGAAACAGAATGACCTAGAGAAGTACTGAGACAATGGATCATTTCCTGTAACAACCTGCTGACTGCCATGATCACTTCTGCAAAACTCTAGCTTGTGCTGGGGGTGTGTATGTGACATCTTTAATCACAACATTTGGGAGGCAGAGTCAGGTGGCTCTCTGAATTCGAGGCTAGCCTGGTTTACAGAATGAGTTCCAGGACAGCCAGAGCTACCCTGCCTTGGAAAACAAACAAACACACAAACAAAAATCTAGCTTGCTTGCCCACTCCGCCTTTGTTTTTTGTTTTGTTTTGTTTGTTTGTTTTAGTATAAAATGAGGCTACAAACTGGACCCAGGATGGAAGGGTTTCAGAAGCTGTCCTGGCTTTGGTCCACTGGTGCCATTCTCTCTGTCTTCCCCTCTCATTGGTGTCAGGGTGCTTGCTCCAGAAAGATCCCTACCACACACTGAGTGGGGAATTTCCTTCGTTTGGGAGCTTTCAGTTTGCCTTTAAACTGAATTATAGATTTTATTTGGATTTATCAATGTTTTCACTATTGTTCAATTTTGTTTTCTATCTTAAGATTCAGTCCAGTTTCTTTCAATCTGGAAATTCCTTAGTTAGCCATTTAAAGGTTGACCATATTAAGAGTCATCAAAAAGCAACAATTAAGGAATTGAGGAGATGGTTCTGTAGGAAGGAGCACTTGTTGTGAATGCCAAGTGGACCTGAGTTCAAATCTCCAAGCAACCACGTAAAAGCTGAGCATGGCCTCCAAGACAGGAGGGTCCCCCAAGCCCAGGTGAGCTTCAGATTCAGTGGAAGACGATCTTAAACAAACATGGAAAGTGATATCGGAAGGTACCCAATGTACTTCTCTGGCCACCAGCATGCAGCTGCCAGCACAGGTGTGCCCCCCACTCCTGCCACACACATTAAACTATCATAGTCTTACTCATTTTTGACTTGTGATCAGTGAGTGAGATGCTCTCCATTCTACACAATATGATGCGCACACTCACTTCGAACACTGGGCTTTATGGGTATAAACAAGAACACAGAACAGAAGAAACATGGCTGTTAACACCAGATGGCTCCTGGCCATGTTTATGTTAAAGCAGAGGAGACTTCTTTAGGATACTAGAAATCTGCTCAGGACACGACTGATCTGTTTGGGGATTTATCCACTTCCTTAAAATGTTAATTTAATTTTTGGCATGAATAACTCTTAGGCTGTCTAGTTTTTAATGTTAACTTGATAAAACCTGGGGTCATCTGGAAAGAAAGAACCCTTCTAGAGAAAATGTCTCCCCATAGGATTGATCTTTACTCAAGCCTTTGGTACATTATCTTTCTCTAAAAAATAAGATCATTTATTTGCATTGTGTGTGTGTGTGTGTGTGTGTGTGTGTGTGTGTGTGTGTGTGTTTGCGCATGCACGCACGGATACATGTATGTTTACAAGTATACATACCGGAGGAGGTCAAACTCGTTCCCTGGCACTGGAGTTACAGTTACTTGTGAGCTACCTGAGGTGGGTGCTGGGAATCAAATTTGGGTCCTCTGCAAGAACAATGTATGTTCTTAACTACGGAGCCCCTGCGGTGCATTTTCTTCATTGATGATTGATGTGGGTGGGCCCAGTTCACTGTGGACAGAGCTACCTGTGAGCTGATGGTCCTGAGTGCTGTAAGAAAGCAGGCTGAGCGAGCCATGAGGAGCAAGCCAGATTCTTCCATGGTCTCTGCTTCAGTTTCTCTCTCCAAGTTCTGGTCCTGTTTGAGTTCCTGCCCCAACTTCCCTCAGTGATGGACTATGACTTGAGAGTTGTGAGCTGAAATAAACCCTTTCCTTTCCAAGTTGTTTGTAGTCATGGTGTTTTAACTATGACAACTGTATTTTGGTTTGTTTTGGTCTGTTGGCTTTTTAGTGTAAGAACTCAAACAATTAAAAAAATAATTCTTTTGCTTAACAGAACAAAGTGCTGTTTTATAGTTTCTTTTAACTCCCCCCCCCCAGTATTTTAATCTTGCTTTTGTGTTACAGAGTGTTAGCTTTTACTCTAGCTACCATGAGTACATCTATCAACCATGGCTGTCCACATTAGAAATTACTATTCCCTTCAGAAAATAAGTTGCTTTTGGGATTATTTCATAGTTCCAATAACTGTATGGTAAACTTAATTTTGTATTTTCCATTGGTTGAAGCAATACAAAAATGAATTTAAGATCTCTTTCTTGGGCTGGGGAGTGAGTACGAGAGTTTGGATCCCCAGAATACACACCACTGTATACATATATAACCGTCCCAAAAGTTCTCTATTTTAGGAATAGTTCCCCTTTTCAGTGGGAGCAGTTAATATACTTTCATAATGTTGGTGTCCCAACTGCACCCACACACAGCAAGTTCTCTCTTTCAGTGGCTTGCTCACAGGGAGGTATGCAGTCTGTCTGCTTAGTCTAGAAGCCCTGTTACCTTCCTGAAATGCGTGTTGTACCTTTCCCACCCCTTTCCATACACCAGCAGTGAGATAATAGAGGTGCCAAGCAGGTGCACCCTGGAAAGCAAGCCAAAGAGTGATTAAGAAAACAACAATATGCAATATGCCAATTGATCTGGGCCGAGAGGCTCCCAGAATAGAGTCTCCCTCTAGTGAGAGGACTGAAAAGCAAAGAGGCAATGCTTTGGAGAAAATTAAAGAACAGTAAAGGAGGAAGAACATGCAATACCGTGTAATCCAATGTGTTCTCCTTTGTGTAAACTGTCTCACTGTGTGTGTGAATAGATGCCTGAAAGAAGAGAGAAGCCTGGCCTGTCAATGCTGGACAAGAGTGTTGGAAGAAACAGAATGGCAGTAACAAGATCCTGACTTTTTATATTTCAGAAGGAGCTGTAAGGCCTTTGAGGCTAGAGTAGCCCGGTGAGGGAAACTGTAGACAGAGACGATGTCAGAGAGCTAGAGGAGCTCATCAGCCACTGTAAGGACATTGGCTCTTAGGAGTGAACTTGGCCATGAGGCTCTGAACAGAGGAGTAGAGATGACTCTGCTGTTGTCCTGATTGTGAATGCAGAAGCAGGAAGACTTCTTAGACTAGTAGGAAAGCCCGGGTGGGAGACTGAG